GGCGCGATGTGTCTGCTATTTCATTTTGGTAAATGTACCATACGTGTGCACATCTCGCCTAACCGCCTACATACCCAACCCTGCGCGTTTGGCAGTGGCAAGTACTGTGGCGCCCCACTTACCAACCGCCAACAGCGCCGATTAGCTCAGCCGGCGCAGTCCTTCTTCCAGCGCAACCGGTGCACATTTCTCATTTTATGCTCAGCGGTTTTCTGGCTGCAGCCACTCCAGCGTCCTCCAAAACTTCCCTGTGCCTCCTACTAGGTCCCTGGGTTCACGTTGTTCTTCGGCTTCCCCTGCATCAGGTCGCGGAACAGACGCGACAGGTCGGCCGCCTCGTCCAGCGTGCAACCCCGCAACTGGTCGGCCAGCAAGGATGCTGACGCCTGGATGATGCTGCAACCTTCCGCGACGGCGCTCACGCCCTCAATGGTGACGGGTCGTTGGGAATGCTTACCGAGCTGGAGTTGCAGGTTCGCCCGGTCGCCGCAAAAGGGATTAAATTCCTCGGTTTCGACATCGGCAGCAGGAAGCCGCACGCGATGCCGTGGATTGCGGTAGTGGTCCATGATGACGTCGCCATACAACGCCTCGGGCTGGTCAGGCACCTGCGGCATACTTAATACAACGCTCCGATACAACGCTCCCGGATTACGGCTATTCCGTGGTAGCGATGGCTTCGCCGTACAGAGCGGCCTTCAACGTATGCCAGGCCAGGATGGCGCACTTGATGCGCGTCGGGTAGGCAATCACTCCTGACAGCATTTCCAGGTCGCCCAGCAGGTCCAGGTTCAATTCGGCGTCCGGTTCGGTCATCATCCGGTGAAACTCTTCGAAAAGGGCCTCAATCTCGGACTCGGCCACGCCCTTGACGGCTTGAGTCAGCAGCGACGCAGATGCCCGACTGATGGCGCAGCCGTGCCCCTGAAACCCCACGTCCGACACCACTCCAGTGCCTGCGACCACCTTGAGTTGCAGCGTAATCTGGTCGCCGCACAACGGGTTGAAACCTTCGGCCTGGTGTGTCGCTCCGTCCACGGTGCGGAAATTTCGCGGCCGGCGGTTATGCTCCAGGAGGATCTCCTGGTAGAGGTCACCCAAATCGGAAGCCATTACCCAAACACCTCAATAACCCGGTCAATGGCCTTGACCAGCGAATCAATCTCGGCGGTAGTGTTGTAGAGACCCAGCGATGCCCGTGCGGTAGCGGCAACCCCGTAACGTGCCATCACGGGTTGCGCGCAATGGTGCCCGGTGCGCACCGCAATCCCCTCAGCATCCAGGATAGTGCCAATGTCATGGGCGTGGGCAGCGTCCATAATGAACGACAACACACCGCCTTTGTCGGCGGCGTTGCCAATGATCCGCACGCCCTCAATGCTGGAGAGTAGCTCCGCTCCATATTGCATCAAAGCCTGTTCATACGCGGCGATCTTTTCCATACCAATGGCTTCCAGGTACTCAATAGCCGCGCCCAGACCGATCGCCCCGGCGATGTCCGGAGTGCCCGCTTCGATTTGGCCGGCAGCACGTTGAATATGGTCTCTTCATAGGTAACCGAACTAATCATCTCGCCGCCCGACTGGTACGGGGGCATCGCGTTGAGCAAATCGGCTCGGCCCCAAAGCACCCCGATTCCGGTGGGCCCGTACAGTTTGTGCCCCGAAAATGTCAGGAAGTCCGCGCCCAATTCCTGCACGTCGATGGGCATATGCGGGACCGACTGTGCCGCATCGAGCATGACCGGCACACCTTTGGCGTGGGCCAGCTCGACGATAGTTCGCACCGGGTTGATGGTTCCCAGCGCGTTTGACTGGTGTACCACCGACACCAGTTTGGTGCGGTCGTTCAGCATCCCTTCGAATTCATCCAGCAGCAACTCGCCATCATCGTTGAATGGAACAACCCGCAACCGGATGCCCAGTTCCTTGCCCAATAACTGCCAGGGCACGATGTTGGAGTGGTGCTCCATACCGGTAATGATTACTTCATCGCCGGATTTGAAGTATTTTCGACCGTAGCTGCTGGCCACCAGGTTGAGACCTTCGGTGGCGCCACGAACATAGATGACTTCACAGTCCTCGGGCGCGTTGATAAAGCGGCGCACTGACTCCCTTGCCGATTCGTAATCGTCGGTGGCACGCTGACTCAACGTATGCACGCCCCGATGCACATTGGCATTGTTCTTGACGTAATAATTGACGATGGCGTCAATTACAACCTGGGGCTTCTGTGTGGTTGCCGCATTGTCCAGATAAACCAGCGGCTTGCCGTTGATCTCCTGGTGCAGGATCGGGAAATCCTGTCGGATTCGCTCCACATCAATTGCGCCCAGCGCATCCGCCTGAGCGGTCTGGTTCTGGCCTCGTAGGGTAGTCACTAGCGGCCTCCGATCGGCAGCGTGATATCAACGTCGGGGATGGCATTCTGGAACTGTTCGTCGAGATACTCCCGCAGCGGCACCAGGGCGACCGTGTCGATAATTTCGCTGGCAAAGGCATGAATCAGGATGCGGCTGACGGTGGGCAGATCAAGGCCACGACTCTGCATATAGAAGACTGTATCCAGGTCGATATGGCCGGCGGTGGCGCCGTGGCCGCACTTCACGTCATCGGCGTATATCAACAGGCTGGGTTTGCTATCCACTTCCGCCTGCTCCGACAGCAACAGGTTCTTGTCGGTTTGCTGGGCGTCCGTCTTTTGCGCGCCCTCCCGGACGGTAACATTGCCTCCGAAAATCGCCCGCGACTGCCCGTCCAGGATGCCCTTGTAGAACATACGACTGGTGCCGTTGGGTTCGGTATGGTCAATGTTGATGTAGTTGTCCATGTGTTGATTGCCGACGGTCAGATACAGGCCATTCAAAGTACATTCGGCCCCAGCGCCGATCAAAGTAACGCTGAAATCATTGCGCCCCAACGCCGCTCCACGGGATATCGCCCCCGACGAAAACCCGGAGTCCCGATGCTGAATCACACGGCTGGTGCCCACGTGATAGGCGTCCATGCCATCCATCAGCAGGCGGTAATGTTCGACTCGGGCGCCCTCGTGCACATGTATTTCGGCAACCGCGTTGGTGAAATAACGCGTATCGTCGGGTCCAACGTAGGTTTCAATCACCGTGGCTCGCGAATTGCGCTGGGCGGACACGATGATTCGCGGATGTGTAACCCTCGGCTGTTCGCGTCCGGTGGTCAGATAAACCACGTTGACCACACCGGCATCACCATCCACCGGCACATCGATACCCATGCCGTCCCGAACGAAGGCCGTGTTGAGGGCGACGAAACCGTCATCTTCTGGTCGCGCCAGTTCACCCAACAGGCTGACGCTGGCGCCCCGTTCGGCGTGAATCGTGTCGGCCAGCGGCGCAATCACTATCCCGCTAGATTCCGCAATCTCGCCGCCTGAGGAAAGGTGGGGCGCAAACACACCATCGACGAACACGAATGTATGCCAGCCGGCGTGCCAGGGTGCGGCTGCCCGCACATCGTCCAGCGTTACGATTCCATCCTCCACCGGCATTGGCTGTGGATGAGCAAAAGCTTCCCGGGCAATCGGTGCGACATTGGTGTATTTCCACGGCTCATTGCCGCGCCGGGCGGTGGGCAGGCCAAGTTGCGAAAAGGCGTCCCAACCACGGTTGCGCAACGCGCGCAGCGTCTCGGCCACTTCGGGCGATTGCGCCTCGTAGGCGGCAGTGTAATGAGGGTAGGTGTCAGCGGTAGCGGTCATTCAGCCTGCTCGCGGTGTGCGAAATTATCGGGATGCCGGATAGAACGGTTGCGATGCGGGACCTATTCGTGGGCGCGACCAGGGTTACCCGCTGGCGGCATCCACGCCTTCGCGCACCCAGTCGTAGCCCCGGGCTTCCAGTTGCTCGGCGAGTTCCGGGCCCCCGCTCAACGCGATGCGACCATCCACCAGGACGTGAACGTAATCGGGCTTGATGTAGTTGAGGATGCGCTGGTAGTGGGTAACCACAACGGCCGCATTGTCCGGCCGCCGCAGGCGATTGACGCCGTCGGATACGATACGCAGAGCGTCGATATCCAATCCGGAGTCGGTTTCGTCCAGCAGAGCCAGTTTGGGTTCCAGCAGCGCCATTTGCAGCACTTCGTTGCGTTTCTTTTCACCACCGGAGAAGCCTTCATTGACCGACCGGCGCACCAATTCAGGATCAATCTCGACCTCTTCCACCTTGGAGCGCAGCAGGCGGTCGAACTCACGAGCGCCCATTTCTTCTTCGCCCTGATGCACGCGTTTCGCGTCAATGGCGGCTTTGAGGAACTGCCAGGCGCGCACGCCGGGCAATTCAATCGGATACTGGAACGCCAGGAACATACCTTCACGGGCTCGGTCCTCCGGCTGCATCTTCAGCAGGTCGGCGCCGTTGTACAGGACTTTGCCGCTGGTGACCGTATACTCGGGCCGGCCCGCCAGCGTGTTGGCCAGTGTGCTCTTGCCGGAACCGTTGGGCCCCATGATGGCATGCACCTCTCCGGGGCGTACCGTCAAGTCAACGCCGCGCAATATCTCCTGGCCGTCGATAGAAACGTGGAGGTCTTTCACCTCCAGGATAGGCGTGTCAGTTTGGTTGGCAGTCGTCATTGCGGATGCTGGGTTCCTCTCCGGGGGTAACGTTTTCAGGGGTGGCGCGTCCAGGGGTAACGTGTTTCGCCGCAGCCCGTTACGCAACCATTCGGTATCGGGGTAATCGGGCAGCGCGCCGGTTTAGCCTACGGTTCCTTCCAGACTCACTTTCAGCAGCTGCGATGCTTCCATCGCAAACTCGAAGGGCAGTTCCTGGAAAATGCCGCGGCAGAAGCCGTTGATAATCATAAAGTGTGCGTCTTCGACCCCGATGCCACGCTGTTGCAGGTAGAAAAGCTGGTCGTCGGAAACCTTGGACGTGGTGGCCTCGTGCTCCAACTGCGCGGACGGGTTCTTGACCTCGATGTAGGGCACGGTATGTGCCCCGCACTTGTCGCCAACGAGGAGCGAGTCGCACTGGGTGAAGTTCTTGGCGCCGCGTGCTGAGGGATTGATTTTCACCAGACCCCGGTAGGTTTGTTGTCCGTGGCCGGCCGAAATGCCCTTGGCTACAATCGTGCTGCGGGTGTTCTTTCCCACGTGAATCATCTTGGTGCCCGTGTCGGCTTGTTGCCAGTTGTTCACCAGAGCCACCGAGTAGAATTCACCGACCGAATTGTCGCCCTGCAAAATGACGCTGGGGTACTTCCAGGTGATGGCCGAGCCAGTCTCCACCTGTGTCCAGGAGATTTTGGAATCGGCGCCGGCGCATTTGCCCCGCTTGGTAACAAAGTTGAACACACCACCCTCGCCGTTCTTGTCGCCGGGGTACCAGTTCTGCAAGGTGCTGTATTTGATTTCAGCGCCTTCCATGGCCACCAGTTCAACTACCGCAGCGTGCAACTGGTTGGTTTTGCGCATCGGCGCGGTGCAGCCTTCGAGGTAACTGACGTAGGCGCCCTTGTCAGCCACAATCAGCGTCCGCTCAAACTGGCCGCTATCGGCCTGGTTGATACGGAAGTAGGTCATCAACTCGATGGGGCAACGCACGCCTGGCGGTATGTAGGCGAAGGAACCGTCGGAGAAAACGGCCGAGTTGAGCGTCGCGTAGAAATTGTCGGCATAAGGCACCACAGAACCCAGGTATTTCTGCACCAGATCCGGATGTTTCTGCACGGCTTCGCTCATGGAGCAGAAAATTACTCCGGCCTTCTCCAGCTGCTCCTGATAGGTGGTCGCAACCGATACACTATCCAGCACCGCATCGACAGCTACGCCGGCCAGCCGCGCCTGCTCTTCCAGCGGTATGCCCAGCTTGCTGAACGCCTCCAGCACCTCCGGGTCAACATCTTCTATGCTCTGGGGCCCTTCTTTCGCAGACTTGGGCGCGGCGTAGTAACGGATGTCCTGAAAATCGATGGCCGGGTGCTCAATGTTAGCCCAGGTCGGCTCGCTGTAGTTTTGGCGAGTCCAGAACCGATACGCCTTGAGTCGCCATTCCAGCATCCACTCCGGCTCATTCTTCTTGGCCGAGATCAACCGCACGACATCCTCGCTGAGGCCCTTGGGAAACGCGTCCTCCTCGATGTCGATGGTGAAACCCCATTTGTAATCGGAGTCCAGCTCCGCGGCAGTAGTATCCCGGGAAATTACACGCTGGCCCTGTGTCGTCATCGGACGGGTATCCTCCTCACCGCTTTTAGCGGGGTGCCGGCGGCCTGTCTAGCCTATTTCCGACCTTTAAGGTCAACAATTATCGTACACGGGCCGACTCCAACTGTCAACGGAATCTGAGACCGTCAATTTTGCGCCACCAAAGTGAATCCGAACGCCGTATTTTTCCACACTGCGCCGCTCTAGAAGCCCGTCCGAGAAACACGACTGGTGAGTCTGTAGGGGTATGATGGGTGGAGTTCATTAGCGAGGAGGCGGCGATGAGCAAGACCTACGTTCCCTACGATCCCGATCAGCAGTTGTTGCTGCCGGCGGCCCTGCAGGAGTGGCTGCCCGACGACCATCTGGCCTACTTCATCTCGGACGTGGTGGACCAGCTGGACCTGTCGTCAATCACCGCCCGCTACGAGGGAGAAAGGCGGGGTGGCCCGCCTTACCATCCTCGGATGATGGTCAAGGTGCTGCTCTACGGCTACTGCGTCGGGGTGGCGTCATCACGGCGCATTGCCCAGCGGCTCCACGAGGACATTGCCTTTCGGGTGCTGGCGGCGAACAACACGCCGGACTTTCGCACCATCTCCGACTTCCGCAAGGACCACCTGGCGGCGCTGTCGGGGTTATTCCTGCAGGTGCTGGCGTTTTGCCAGCGGGTGGGGCTGGTGAAGTTGGGTCATGTGGCGCTGGACGGCACCAAGGTCAGGGCCAACGCATCCAGGCACAAGGCGATGAGTTATCGGCGTATGAAAGAGAAAGAGGCGCAGTTGGCGGCGGAGGTGGCGGAGTTGCTGCGGCGGGCTCAGGAGGTCGATGACGAGGAGGATCGCAGGTACGGCCAGGATAAGCGCGGGGATGAGTTGCCGGAGGAGCTGGCCTTTCGGGAGGGACGGTTGGAGAAGATACGGGAGGCCATGGCGGCGTTGGAAGCCGAGGCCCAGGCGGCGGCTGAGGCGGAAGGCAAGGAGCATCTCGGGGTGCCCGACGACAAGGCTCAACGCAACTTCACCGATGCCGAGTCCCGCATCATGCCCGGGCCGGGCGGTAGGGACTTCCTGCAGGCGTACAACTGTCAGGCGGTGGTTGACCACGCCCACCAGGTGATCGTGGCGGCTCGGGCCACCAACCAGTCCTCGGACAAGCAGCAGGCTGCGGCGATGATGCAGGAGACCATCGACAACGTCGGTGCAGTCCCCCGGGAAGTATCCGCCGATGCTGGCTATTACTCGGCAAAGGCAGTCGACGACCTCCAGGCCCTGGGCGTGGACCCGTTCGTCGCGCCGGAGCAGACCCGCCACGGCAGAGTGGTTCCGCCGGCGCCCCGAGGTCGCATACCCAAGCACCTGTCCCCCAGGGACCGGATGCGGCGGAAGTTGCAGACCAGGCGGGGCCGCCAGCGCTATGCCCTGCGGATGGAAACGGTGGAGCCGGTCTTCGGCCAGATCAAGGCGGGCCGGGGCTTCCGCCAGTTCCTGCTGCGGGGACTGGAGAAGGTCCAGGGCGAGTGGTCCCTGATCTGCACCGGCCACAACCTGCTCAAGCTGTTCCGCTGCGGCCGACTGGCCCCCGGATGAGCATGGGCCACCCGGCTAACCGAGCGCGTGGGATGTCCACCCCACCGGTTGGGAACGACGTCCCATGCCCAGAGCCTCCCAGAGTGAGCATCGTCAACCGGCAGGAATAATTGACGCCGATCGATCGCGGCTTGCCCGGGGAGACTAGTTAGCCAATACTCGGACTCGCTCCTAGCCCGGTACCTGCCCGGGGGACGTTCATTCGGCTTATATGGTGGTCTCCCGATATATTCTGATGCAACGCAGCGGGAGTAGCAACTATCCATGAATCGGCCCAAACGCAACCGGTCTCAGTAGCCGCCGCCGGTTGACCCGGGAACGGCGCATTATCACGGGGATTTGTTACCGCCGGCAATGCTATAATTTGGCCGGCGAGAACCCAATGATCACCGGTCACCATCGGAGACGAAACCATGCCGGCAGCGCCCGTTTTTTGCGACGCTCACACCCATCTTGACCAGCACGCTCCGGCCGACATTCCAGAGATTCTGGAGCGGGCCCGAGACGCCGGCGTGGGTTTCATCATCCTGGCCGGCACCAACATTGAGTCTACCAAACGCTGCATCGACCTGTCGGCTGAGCACCCCATGTTCTATGCTGGCGTGGGCATACACCCCATGCAGGCTGACCAACCGGTGAACGACGCCGTTTACGCCGAACTGGAAACGATGGCACGCAACAACCCGCAGGTGGTGTGCATTTCGGAGGTGGGCCTGGATTATCTGTCCACTTCACCCGACCACGAGGTGCAGGATCAGGTGTTCCGGCAGCACATTCACCTGGCTAAAAGCCTGGGCCTGCCCGTAATCTTTCACTCGCGCGAATCGCACCCGGCGGTGTTCAAGGTCTTGCGGGAGGAAAACGCGGGTCTGGTCGGCGGCGCCATGCACTATTTCCAGGGCGACGAAGCCACGGCGCGCGAGGCCATCGACTGCGGCTTTTTCATCTCGCTGGCCCGGCCGCTGACCCGCCTGCCCGAGTTGCAGGAAGTAGCGCGCAACATTTCCCTGGAACACATCGTGTTGGAAACTGACGCCTTCCCGCAACCGTTCAAGAAGTACCGCCACAATTGGACCGAACCTCGCCACCTGGCCGGAGTCGCCCAATGCCTCGCCGATATCAAGGGCATCTCGGTAGACGAGGTAGCCGAGGTCACGACGGCCAACCTGAGCCGGTTGCTCAAGCTTGAACCGCCATCCTGCCCCGGGGCTTTAGCCGTTAGTTAACATGGGCGCACCGGGTGCTAACGATTTCCGTTTACCGCCCAAACATCCTGTCCATCCATGTTCTATAACCCAGCGAGTGGAAGATTGAGACGCTATGACTACCCAACGCGAATATCCCATGGATCACGACGCTCCGGAGCAGATTGCGCCCCACAGCCTCAATGACTACCTGGAAGTTATGACCAAGGCAGTTTTCCAGAGCGGCCTCTCCTGGAAGGTGGTCAGCAACAAATGGCCCGGTTTCCAGGCCGGATTTAAAGGTTTCGACGTGGCCTCAGTGGCAACAATGGGCGAGTCTGAGATAGACACGCTGGCCACAGACACGGCCATCGTCCGGAACCGCCGCAAGATTGTCGCCACGGTTCACAACGCCCAACGCCTCATCGAGCTCGACGAGAAATACGACGGCATCCGGAACTATCTGCGCTCGCACGGCGATTTCTACGCGGTGCTGAAAGACGTGCGCAAACAATTCAAATACTTGGGCGACACCGGCACCTACTACTGGCTGTACGTACTGGGCGAGGAAGTGCCCGACTACGGCGAATTCTGCAACCGCAACAAGTAGGGTGTGATAACATCGCAGCCTATCCGCGCTTCGCAACCAAACCGCAGAGGTTGACGCCATGACCACCAACGCCACCTGCCAGCTGGCACTGAAAGAGTGGGCAATAACCGTCCGGGCTCTAGCCGACGGAGACCAGATCATGATGCTCCGCAAGGGTGGCATCAGTGAGGACAGCAAGGACTTCCGCGTCGTGCATCCCGAATTCCTGCTCTATCCAACCTACCTGCACCAGCGGGAAGACCTGCTGAAGGAAAGCCACCAGCCGACGCTGCGCCAATTGCTTTCCGATAACCCGGCCGATGACGACGCCGTGACCTTCACCCACTGGGCAAGGGTGCACGAATTGCTGGAGATCGACCAACTTGGCAAGGTGGAAGACCTCGCTCCCCATCACATCTGGACCGACGGCTACGCCCAGTCCCGCCTGCACTGGAAGCCCATGGTGCCCCTGACCATCATGCTGCTGCGCGTCTACCGCATGGAAGCGCCGGTAACCGTTGCCTTCATCCCAGAGTACGGCGGCTGCAAGTCTTGGGTGGACGTCATACCCACCGTCAACCTCGGCCAACTCACGCCGGTCGTCGACGACGCCACCTTCGCCCACATGGTGGAAGCCGTCCGGGGAAGCCTGGGGCTGGTAACCGCATAGCTGGTTCCAAATTGGGTTCGGTGCACCACACCGAATCGCGGCGCCGCCTGGTGATAAGTTATGTCAAGCCTGCTTTCAATGCTGGAACAGGAAAGGCGATACAGACTACTGTTGCCAGAACGGAATGCGCTAAACGCGGAGTCGGCTTTTGCCCTGATTCGGGATATGCCCTACCAGCGCGCGAGTTCCCGCCACCCAGAGGCTATCATTCGGGAGTGGCGGGGCACGTGTTCCGGGAAACACTACCTGCTCGACGAGATTTTCCGAGAACTTGGCCACGATTCACGGGTCATAATGTGTACGCACCGTTTCACTTTGGAAAACACGACCCACTTCCCCAGCGAGCTGCAGAACCTCATTGCAGGAAACTCGGTGCCCGACGTTCATACCTACCTGCGTGTCGAAACCCCATCGGGCTGGATGACCGTGGACGCCACCTGGCCGTCCAGCGCAGCGCCCCTGGGTATGCCCGTCAACCAAACCTTCAAAGCCGGCCACGACATGGCCATCGCCTGCAACCCCATCGACTACTACCCAGTGCCCGAGGGCCAGGATCCCCAAACCTTCAAAGAACAAATCATCGCCGATTTCTGCGGCCCCAGCAGCCAGGTGCGGGAGCAGTTCATTGAAGGAATGAGCCGGTGGTTGAGCGAATCTACTGGACGGCACACATTGCGATAGTAGCGTCCAGCTCCTCCAAAAATAATCCGTTGAACTTTTGCGTTACCAGGCAATCCAATAGTACGACTTCACAATCCCAGTAGAAGGACAATTGCACCATGAAATACCGCAATCTCCCCCGCACCGATTTAATGCTGTCCGAAGTTGGCTTTGGCGTCTGGACCGTGGCCACCAACTGGTGGGGCCGCATCCCCGAGGAGATGCGCCGCAGCCTCCTTGAAGAAGCTCTCGAACTGGGCATCAACTTCTTCGATACCGCCGACACTTACGGCGAAGGTTATGGAGAAGAAGTGCTCGCCAAGTTCATGGGCCACCGCCGGCACGAAATGATTATCGCTACCAAATTCGGTTACGACTTCTACGACCAGTCCACGCCGCGCATTGGGCATGGGGAACGACCGCAGAAGTTCGAGCCGGAGTTTATCCGGTTCGCCTGTGAGCAATCTCTGCGCCGCCTGAACACTGACTACATCGACCTGTATCAGCTGCACAACCCGCGCATTGCCACCATCGAAGACGACGATGTTTTCGAGACGCTGGAAGCCCTCAAAGACGAGGGTAAAATCCGGCACTACGGCTCCGCTCTTGGCCCAGACATCGGGTGGTTTGAAGAGGGGCAGGCCAGCATGGAAGAGCGACACGTCAGCAGCATGCAGATTATCTACAGCATCCTGGAACAGGACCCGGCCAAGGATTTTTTCCCCATCGCCGACCGGGAACAGGTCGGATTGCTGTCCCGCGTGCCCCATGCCTCGGAAGCCTTGACCGGCCGCTACGACGCACCGCCGGAGTTCGACGAGTCCGACCACCGTTCCTTCCGCCGGCACCAGTGGCTCACCGAGGCTTTGATCAAAGTCGACCAGGTGAAGTTCCTGGCCGGCGAAGAGGTGGGGCGCACCATGAGCCAGGCTGCCATTCAATTTGTGCTCCACCAACCCACTATCACCAGCGTGCTCCCCAATTTCACCACGCTGGAAGAGTTGCAAGAATACTCGGACGCGGTGGACACTCCGGATATTACTGAAGGCGATCAGGCCATCATCGACGATCTCTGGGCCAACAATTTTTACATTGAGGAACCGGAGCCCGCGTTTCGCGAGATTTAGCCTGGTGCAATCTCTACCCGAGAATCACCCAGGCCAGCGTTTCAACTTCAACCTGAATTGACAGCCCCAAGGGCTAGTGATAACTTTCACATAGTCCTTTTTATCCTTCGCACGAGGGGAGCCTTTTCCTGATGCCCGTTAACATTTGCGTGCTCGCCAAACAGGTCGTTGACCCTGAGATGCCGGCCGCTGCCTTTCGAATCGACAGCGATTCCCTGCAAGTCGTCACACCGCTCAACATCCCCCCGGTGGTCAATGGTTTTGACGAGAACGCCGTGGAAGCTGCCCTGCGAATCAAGGATGCGCAGGACGCCAACATCACCGTAATTTCGTCAGGCTCGACGTTCGCGCTGGACGTGATGAAAAAACCGCTGTCCATGGGCGCCGATGAGCTCGTTTTGCTGCAAGACGACGCGTTCTCCAACACCATCGACGCCTTCCTGACGGTGCAGATGCTGGCCGCCGCCGTCAAAAAACTGGGCGGATTCGATTTGATTATCTGCGGGAGGCAAGCTTCCGACTGGGACAACGCGCAGGTTCCCCTGGGCGTTGCCGAAACCCTCGGCGTGGCCTGCATCACCCTGTGCAAAAAGGTAAACGTGCAGGACAACAAAGTGATTGTTGAGCGCCTGGCGCCGGACGGCTACGATGTAGTTGAAGCTCACCTGCCCGCGTTGGTAACCGTCAGCAATGAGCTGGGACAGCCGCGCTATCCCACGCTACGTGGCATCATGGCCGCCACCCGCAAACGCCCTACCGTCTGGACAACCGGTGACCTGGACCTGAGTCCTGACCAGCTGGAGCCACGCATAACATTGCACGACCTTTTCATTCCCCAGAGCGATCAGGAATGCGAACTCATCGAGGGCGACGATGACGCCGACTCGGCCCGCAAGCTGGCTCTGCGCCTGCGCGAAGACCGCCTCATTTAGTCCCGTCACTTCTTCTAACCACCAACGGAGACGATAATGGCAGACGCAACCGGAATTCTGGTTTTCGGGGATGCTCCCGCCGGTCAGCTGGGTTCTACCGCTCAGGAACTGCTTGCCGCCGGCCGCTCGCTGGCGGACAGCCTCGGGCAAGAACTAACCATCGCGCTGTTGGGCGCCGATGTCGCTCGTGCGCCGCAACAGGCGATCTCGCAAGGCGCCGACCGGGTGCTAGCAGTCACCAGCCCGGCATTGGGGGATTACCATCCCGACCTGTACCTGTCGGCGATGCAGTCGGTGGTGACCGAGACCAACCCCGGCATAATCCTGATTTCTCGCAACAACGAAGGGCGCGAACTCGCGCCACGGCTGGCGTTTCGCCTCGGCGTTGGCCTGGCCCAGGATTGCCTCGAAGTGGGCGTGGACACTGACACCGGCCGCCTGTTAGCGAATCGTCCGGTATATGGCGGTAGCGCTGTCGCTGTGGTCAGCTGCAATCAGACCCCACAGATTGCCGCAGTGCGACCCAAAACCTACGAACCCCTGGACGCTGACTCCGCCCGTTCCGGCGACGTGATTGCCTACCCAGTGGACATTGACGCATCCGAAGCGAAAAGCCGAGTCGTGGATGTCGTTCAGGAAGAAGCCGCCGGTATCAAACTTGAAGACGCCCGCATCGTGGTGTCAGGCGGCCGAGGCCTTGGCGGCCCGGAACCCTTCGCCCAACTGGAAGAGCTGGCCGCCCTCCTCGGCGGTGCCGTGGGAGCATCCAGGGCGGCTGTCGACTCGGGTTGGGTTCCGGCAAATCAGCAGGTCGGGCTCACCGGCAAGACCATCACTCCAGACCTGTACATCACCGTCGCCATCTCCGGGGCCAGCCAGCACATGGCCGGCTGCAGCGGCTCCAAAGCCATCGTCGCCATCAACAAGGACGGCGACGCTAATATATTCAAAGAAGCCCGCTACGGAGTCGTCGGCGACTGGGAAAAGGTAATTCCGGCGTTGACCGAAACCATCCGCGAACTAACCCAGTCCTAGAGCGGATTATTCCTCGCATACGATGGTTGTGTCACCCATCCCGCCAGATGCGAATGGAACGAAAACGCCAACAGTGAACGGCGTGCCGATGGTGCATCTAACGATGCCAGGGGTAGTCGCAGGAGAACCACCGAAATGTCGTCCCCGTACCTGAGGAATCTATCTCACCAGCAACGCGGCGCGTTGATCACCAACCTGCATGAATCCTAGGGTGGTAATTGCTTCATTTGTGGGAAACCAATCAGCTTGGAGCTTCACGCGGACACTATCGACATCGATCACATTCAACCTACTCAAGGCGGAGTAAGGACGGTCCAGAGAATTTCGGCTTAACGCACGATTCATGCAATCGGTCAAAGCATTCCACTAACTTACGGGTGGCCAGAGTGCTGGCCTCCTTCGATGTCATTGCACAGTCTATCGCGCACGAGAACCGTTCTCCGAATTTGGGCGATGTCCTTGTTAAACACGGCGGTAGCCAATATCTTCTTCGGATGAAGGCAGTCGGCAGTACACTTGAGATCACCTACCCGGAAATCGGCCGAAACGACGTTATTACGTTCCCAGTGTACGACGACGAAATATCAGGTTTTCGTTCCTCGTTCATCGACCTGCCGATCGAATACTTACACCACGATGACTACATCAACCCGAGAGCAATCGGCAACAACCTAAGAAAAATGGTAGAAGAGTTCCACAAAAAACTCCCACAACTGCATATCTCACTAGGAGCCTGTCTGAGAAACAATGTTCTAAACGATAATCGTCTCGATCAAGGTTATTATCACGATATTCCACATATAAAGGCCTATTATCCAAGAAACAGGTCAAAGCATGACGCTATTAGTCTCTGACAACTAATCCTCAGACAGGCTCCTAGGGTGGATAGATTCGTCTCAGGGCAACCAAGCGAAAGTTAAAGTCTTCGATGGACAGCATAAGGCAGCTGCTCAAATCCTCTTGGGAGCTCGAACCTTACCCGTAAGAGTGTTCATTGACCCCGACACCAACCTACTTTTAACCGCCAACACCAACGCTGCGACCACTCTGCGCCAAGTAGCATTTGACAAGTCAGTGCAACGCAGCTTAGGGAGTTCACTGCTCAGCAACCGGATGAACAGATACCGCGAGGAACTTGGTATCGAACCGGGTGACGAGAACTTCTCAGAGCTGGACTTGGTAAATCACTTCAAAGGCGAAGGGAAAGAGATGAGGAGGTACATCGTTGACAGGGTGCGCGACAGCATAACCACTCATCTCATCACGAAAATAAGCTCAGGGATTACATAGAATACGGTGGCAAAAGCGGGGATAAACCGCTGAGTTACAGCACTATACAGCACTATAGCGAAGACCTTCTATCAATTCTTCATAAGTAACGAAGTTTTGATAACGCCATTCAACTACAACTTCGAGGGAGGTACCAACCCGCGCCAACTAGAAATTGACCACGTGGTTCGGCTGATGAACATCATTGCGGATCACATTTACATAGGGCAGTTCGACCCCACAAGAGGAATCCGGCGCATAGAGAATGATGTCCAGAAAGGCCAAGACATATCAGAACCGCACCTACGTGCCTTTAGGATGGCAAAAGAAGAAATCATCCACAACTGGCTACGGCTCGTGCGACAGATCGTGTACCAATACTTCATCACGACCGGAAAGCCAATTGACGAGGGAAAGCTCTTCCAAGACGAGATTCCCGAAGCCTGCTGGCAGAACATAGAGAACTTCATTGATGCCTTGAAACACCTACCATTGTGGGTAAATAAGGACCCCTCCATATCCGCGTTCGGTGCCAAACAGAACAACGCCTACTGGCATTCGATATTCAAAACAGGGAAAACCCCGGACGGCGCAGTAGTCATGCACGAGGGCCTTGACCTCCTAGAAATGATCAAAGGAGATGAGTAGCAGGATAGTCTGATAGTGGGATTGCTGCCCTACTCTACCACCACGTCATCTATCAGCCGCACCGCCGCCGTCATGCCCGTTTCTGGCTGGATACCACAGCTTTTCAACCTACCCAGCGTCTAGGTTCTGTTGACATTTCATTATAATGGCCGTATGTCAAACATCAGATTATCACCAGAACAGTGGGTCAGGGTTCTCGATTTCTTGCGTGGCCGCACCGGCCTGTACGTCGGCCAGGAAGCGGATTGCCGGCGTTTCGTCGAGGCCGTCTTATGGATTAACCGCTCTGGGGCCCAATGGCGACTGCTGCCAGCTGAATACGGGAACTGGAACAGCGTCTACAAACGATTCGCCCGTTGGACTGACCAAGGCGTCTGGGCACAAATGCATCAACATTGCTCCGACGACCCGGATCTGGAATACTTGATCATCGACAGCACGGTGGTCCGGGCGCACCCTTGCGCGGCGGGAGCTCCCCCAAAAAGGGTGGCCAGACGGCCCAAGCCCTGGGCCGGAGCCGCGGCGGGTTCAGCACCAAGATTCACGTGAGCGTGGACAGCTTGGGCAACCCCTTGCGATTCATACTGACCGGAGGGCAACAGCACGACATCACTCAGGCGGAGGAGTTAATCGCCGGTTATGCTGGCGAGCACGTACTGGCCGACAAAGGGTACGATGCCCAGGAGTTTCGCCAGCACATCCTGGAACTGGGTATGATGCCGGTCATTCCGCCCCGCTCGAACCGCAAGGAACCCGCCGACTATGACCGGCATCTGTACCGGGAGCGCCATCTGGTGGAATGCTTCATCAACAAGATGAAGCACTATCGCCGGATCTTCTCCCGGTTTGAGAAGCTGGACACCAGATACCTCGGCTTCCTGCACTTCACCGCCGCTCTCATCTGGCTACGGTGAAATGTCAACAGAACCTAGCCACCAAACAGTTGTCGGCGCAGTTCGTCTTGATTGATTTCCAAGTACGCGGCGACCCGGTGCAGAATCTCATGCAGCGTACCAATCTTCAGTTGGCTATCACGCGGGACCGAAACGTGATGCTCTCGTCCTTTGATGTTAGTAACCAACCGCATATGGCTGCCCCTTTGACGCACCACCTGATAGCCGTATTGCCAGCGCAGCCGACGAACCAATTCATCACCGGACATATCCCTGGGCAGCATTACACTGTCACTACCTCATCTCTTACGAGACGCAGCCGGAATGTTTCGGGAGTCATGCCTGCATCGAAATGGCACAGCACGGCGTCTTGTGCCATGACCTTTCAAATCCTCCCATGAATCACCCTGGGTAATGATGTCGTACCCTACCGCTGCGGCGTAGTAGCCGCCCTCCTCGGCCTCATACACTTCAAAAACTACTTCGTCTGGCATAGTCAAACGCCCTCCATTCGCCGGGTCTGTGTCCTGGGTAGAATTGTAGCAACCTAACCCGTTGGCATCGTCCCTTCTAAACCAACACGACGTTATCTATCAGCCGCACCCCCCCCACCCTAGCCGCCACCGCCACCATCGCGGCCTGCTCCCCAATCGCATCCACCCCCACCATCGTTTCCGCGTCCACCACCCTAACGTAGTCCACCGACTCCACCAGCAGCTCCGACCGCAACACCGCCAACGCTGCCGAGCGCAGGGCTCCAGCGTCCTGCTCGCCCGACCGCCAGAGTTGTTCCGCAGCGCACAATGCCCGGTATATGACCGGCGCAGCCTGCCTTTCATGCGGTTTCAGGTAGGCATTGCGACTGCTCAACGCCAACCCGTCCGGCTCACGCACGGTGGGCATTGTGACTACATCAACGCCCAGATTCAGGTCGCGCGCCATGCGACGAATTACTGCGACCTGCTGGCCGTCTTTCTGGCCGAAATACGCGCGGTCAGGCCGCACTATGGTGAACAGCTTCGCCACCACCGTTGCCACGCCCCTAAAATGGCCGGGCCTCACCTCGCCCTCCTGGCCCTCTGCGACCGCGCCGGGTTCTATCCAGGTGTCGAATCCGGCCGGGTACACCTCCTCCGGCGGGGGCGCGAATACCAGGTCTGCCCCCTGTTCCTCCAGCAATGCCAAATCCCGTTCCATGCTGCGGGGATAGCTGGAAAAATCTTCGCTCGCTCCAAACTGCGTAGGATTGACGAAGATCGACACCGCCAGTATCGCGTTGTCGCAGCGAGCCTGTGTAGTCAGCGACAAATGGCCCGCATGCAGGGCGCCCATCGTCGGCACCAATCCCAGCGGACGGGCGGCGACCCGGCACGCCATCGCCATCTCATCGCAGGTCTGTATTATCTCCATCCTCGCCTCATGTCGCCTAGCCGACCAGTCCGACCTGCAGTGGCGCAGGTTAGTTTGGTGGGAACAGCTCGTCAATCTCGCGCTGCAGTCGGTCTTGCTCTGTCTCCACTGGTGCGCCCGCCGGCACCGGACCAGCCGGCAGCGCCATCTCCTGGTAGAACGTCTCGTCATAATCCCGGGGCCGCAGCACCAGTGGCATCGGAACGGCGTGCCCGAACACCAACGCCTGCTGCTTGCTGCTCAAGCGCGACAGCACGTCCCTCAGTTGGCTCGAATCCCGCGCTCCCATCAGGACCGCCGACATATCCCGGTCGTCGTTGAGACTGCAGGTTAACCGGGTACCCAGCTGACTCATCACCTCAGAGTCGATGCCACTGGGACGCTGGTCGACAATCATCAGGGTTACATTGTACTTGCGAAGTTCCCGGGCGATGGTGCCAAAAATGGTCTGCGAAGCGACCTCCGGCGTCAGGAATTTGTGGGCTTCCTCGATGAAAATCACCAGCGGACGCGGATCGGCGCCCTGCCCTCCGTCGGCCAGCTCCTTGCGCCGCACCCATTCTTCGTGTATGCGGCGAGTCAGCAGGTTGCTGACCAGTACGTAGGCTGCTTCGTTCCTGCCGTACTGCCCGAATTCCAGCACCACATGATTTCCGCGTTGCAGGTGTTCCACGATGCTGCGGGCGGCGTTTGCCCCGGCAGCATCGTCCAGAAACTCGAACCGCTGCCAAGCGCTCAATCGCCGGTGCAGGGCTGCCAGCGCCGCCGCATTGACACCGATGGCGTCCGCCAGGTCCGGAATATCCGGGCCGCCCAACACCATAAACTCACCTAGCCAGCTGCGCCGGGCAAAATGCCTTTCCAGATTGTAGGCCGCTGCCGCCGCTACCGCCGACAGGCCCAACGACTCTCGCAGCATTTCGATATCCGCCGGCTGGATTTCGTTATAGCCGATGCGCACGATCCCATCAGGCGTGATCCCCCGCCGTTGGCTGCTTTGTTGGTCAAGCGTGAACGTAACCACGCGGCTGGGAAATAGCTGTTTCAACCCCTTGACCTGGCTTCCGCGGTCGTTGTCCTGGCCCTGCCACCCATACTCGTTCTGCATATCAAAAACGAGCGACACCACTTCGCCCTGTTTGACCAGTCCCGCCAACAGCATACGAGCCAGGAAGGTTTTCCCCGACCCTGATGCACCGAACACACCCACCGACCGGCTCGCCAGCGCACTCAAGTCCAGGCGGACTGTGGCGCCGTCCATCGCTTGGGGAGCGCCCAAAGCCAGCGCCGTATGCTGCGGAGCATTGAATACAGCGTCAATGTCAGCCTGCGATGCCGTAAACACCGGGGAGAAATGCTCCGGTATCGTTGTGGAGGTTTCTGGTTGAATACTGTAGGCGTTGCCATCCGGCACGGCGATTCCCGGCATAACCGACAATACTCCGTAGGCCGTCGTACCTCCCACCACCTCGGCCAAAAACGCGTCGCCCCCGGTGGGCGGAAAATGCCGCAAACTGTCGTCCACCGTCCGCAGTTCGATGTCCGTAACCACGCCAAAAAACCGCTGCCGCCGCCCCTGAACGGTGACGAACGACCCCACTGGCACATCCTCAACAGAGGCCCCACCGACACCATCCAGCCGAACCTGCAAACCGCGAGACAGCTGCCCGCCAACCACAACGCCGATCTGACGACCTGGCGCCGCCGCCGCGTGAGCAAACCGTCCATCCCCGTTGCCGTTGTTATTGGTCATACGGCGATCTCCCGCAGCATGGTGTAAAGGCGCTGAGATTCCCCCGCCAGTTCGATTGCCAGCATACGCCCGGCCCGAATCAGGAACCCGCGCCGGTCGGCAACCGTTGCCGCCGACCGTTGCAGAAAAGCTGTCATCGCCAAATCTGCTGTTAGAGAACCATCCGCCATCAGCAATCGTAAGAACTGCAATTGACGAACAAAAGACGCCACCTCCGCATCATCGCACAGGAAAACAAACGAGTGGAGGTTTGGCGGCACTGACGGCAATCCCTGCCTGATGTCCAACCCGTCAACGTAGCCGGTAACGGTGGCCGTGAATCGGGTGGTCAAAACCGACAGCAATTGCGGGTTCTGGGCGTAAATCTCCTCTTCCGTTTCCAGGTCCGCGCCCCGGGCCGCCAGGGGACGGCTGGGGTCAAGCGGCTCATGCCAAATGTCCCGCACCACCGCATAAACAGCCGGAGACCCAATCCGTAGCAACGACCCCAAAGGAGGCGGCGAGTGCAGCTCGTAACACTGCACTTCCACCCGTTCCGTGTGGGAGACGATCACTTCGCCGACACGGCGTCGTGTTTCCATGCTAGTCATGGCAACTCTGAATATCCTGATTCCGTCGGTTGCTCCGATTTTAGCATCTCCGTTGTAAAGGAACACTGCGGAAAGGTCACCTGCCCGATTAATCCGCTCACCTCGCCTTGAATGAAACCCCGATAAAAACGGGCTTTCGCGAGGACGAACATTGCCGTCGATGATTGACAACGATTGTTGTTATGCTATGATTGTTCCCGCAAATCATTGCAACAATGGGCAACAATGGCAGGTAAACCATGTCTGGCCACGAATCAGCTATCGACCGTTTGCGCACCCAGGGTTACCGCATGACTCCCCAGCGCCTCTCCGTGCTGGACATTGTGGCCAGTCGCTCTGGCCACGTCGGCGCCGACGAAGTGTGGAACCGGGTAAAGATGCAGCACCCTTATGTTGACTTGGCAACCGTTTACCGCACGTTGCAATTGTTGAAGCGGATTGGTGTCGTAACCGAGGTGGTGATCGGGAACAAGCTGCACTTCGAGCTTACCGACCAGCACAACCGTCACCACCACATGGTTTGCTCGCATTGCGATGCCGTGCAAACGCTCAGCCCCGCCTATCTGGGCGAGCTCAGCCAACGATTGCAACTGGAATTCGGTTTCACGCCGGATTTGGAGAATTTCACGATAGGAGGCACCTGCGACAAATGCGCCGGCGTTCCCCAGCAATAGTCCTGTCTGACATCTTCTGCAACCGGCTTGCCCGGCTCGCGGCGGCAATTAGCCTGCCGACTGCCCTGATATTGATCCTGGGAACCGCCTGCGCCGAACCTGCCGCTCCCGCCAGCACCAATGAAACGGCCATGGCCACCGATACTCTGGAAGTGGTCTCAACAGTGTCCCCAATCACCAGCATCGTAGAAAATATCGGCGGTACACGCATCCGGTTACGGGGCGTAGTGCCGGAAGGCGTAAACTCCCACTCCTTCGAACCCGCACCGTCGGTGGCCGCGATCCTCTCCAACGCCGACCTGGTTTTCCTCAACGGCCTATTCCTGGAGGAACCCACACTTGAAATGGCGAGCGCCAACCAGAAAGCCGGATCCGAAATCGTCAGCCTCGGCGAACAGGCCATCACCCGAGACCAGTGGCGGTTCGATTTTTCCTTCCCACGAGAAGGGGGCCACCCCAACCCGCATCTTTGGCCGGACCCGATTCTGGCGTTGCGCTACGCCCAAATCGTGCGGGATAAATTGGCCGAACTTGACCCGGACAACGCCGACTACTACGCCGCCAACTATGACACTTTCGACGCCCGAATCGCTGCGTTGGACGCAGCCATCATAGTGGCCGTGGCCACGGTCCCACCGGAGAACCGCAAGTTGTTGACCTACCATGACTCCTGGGCCTATTTTTCGCAACGGTACGGTATGACGGTGATCGGTGCGGTTCAGCCGTCGGATTTTTCCGAACCATCGGCGCGCGAAGTTGTGGACCTGATCGAGCAGATCAGATCGGAAGGCATCCCGGCAGTGTTCGGGTCCAACGTGTTTCCCAGCGACGTGATGCAAACCATAGCCTCGGAATCTGGCGCGCTCTACGTTGACGGGCTTAGCGACGACGACCTACCAGGCTCGCCTGGAGACCCTCGCCACACCTATATCGGGCTGGAAGTAACCAATCTGGAAATAATGATTAGCTCGCTCGGCGGTGATCCCGGCGGCGTTGCAGGACATCGACACCGGCCCGGTATTCGTTGGCGAATCCACCGCGATTTACCCTCAGTAGCCGCCTATGTTACACCCACCTGAGCTAGAACATCTGCACCGGCCCGACCCGGACGCGCGACCCATCGTCGAATTGCAAAATGTAACCGCCGGTTACAACGGTAACCCGGTGTTGAGAGACATCGACCTGCGCGTGATGCCTGGCGATTTCCTGGGTTTGCTTGGTCCCAGCGGATCCGGCAAAACCACCCTCCTCCGCACGGTGCTTGGCGCAGCCAACGTCATGTCCGGCGCGGTTCGCGTGTACGATAAACCCGGCGGTCGGCACAATCGAGCCGGCTATGTCCCGCAGCTGGAAACCATCGACTGGAACTTTCCGGTAACGGTGGAAGAAACCGTCATGATGGGCCGCACCATGGTCAACGCTTGGTTCCCCTGGTATCGCCGACGTGAACGGGAAATGGCCCTGGACATGATGGAACGCCTGGGCATCGCGGACCTGGCGAAACGACATATCCGTCAGTTATCCGGCGGCCAGCAGCAACGGGTCTTTCTGGCGCGGGGCGTTGGTGAGCAACCCGGAATTGCTGCTGCTGGACGAACCGACTTCAGGCGTGGATGTAAAAACCCGCGACGACGTGATGCACCTGCTGCACGACCTCAATCACGCCGGCGT